GCCTTTCTTTTGACTTGAAGAAAGGAAATATAATAATTATCTCAATTCACCTACGAAGGTATCTCTCAATTCCACAATTTTTTGAATTTTTTTTATGTTTCTCTTATGTTTATTACTAATTGAATAGACTTTGATAACTCTTTTTTTTAACGAAAAGTTTACTCTCGTTTTGGCACTTACCTTTTTTAAACTTTATAATATATACGATAATCGCAATAAACACTTTCAGTTATAAGGAAAGACATTTTTTGTATATATTATGCATATATTTTTTGTATATATTTTTATATTATGCAAAAACAGGTAAAGGTCGACAATGATAAGAGGTTGTTGAATATTCTATAGGCCACTGACTGGGCTTTAAGCATTCCTGCGGTTACAGAATATCGACGGTTAACCACTAATATCTCCTAACTGGCATTTATAAAATAGCTGTAGATATATTTTTTAACTTTCCTGTTTCTCTATCTATGTTATGTAGAGGAATAATTTTTACATCAATATATTGTGAATTTATTAATTTACTTTCTGATTTATTAAATTACTTTTTTCTTTACTTTCTTTTCTTTTTGATTTCATTGATACCTGTAAATCTTTGTCCATGTTAGTTAAAAGTTTTTGGCTGGCAACCGACGGTATGCCTATGACCATTGTAGTAAAGTAAGCTTATTCTAATCTGGAATTTCCATCATCACCGCAATGATTATAAGTTACTCATGTAAGTAGTTTTTATACGGGTTCATTGGTATTCAGAGTGTGCTATAAATTGGCGCGTGAGAAACTGCGTACAAAAAATAGTAAAGCCGCAAGTCGAGGAGTTAGTTGTGGGTTCTCTTATCTATTATTCTGAAATAGAAATAATTTAAATAAAGATAACTTTAATTTTATTCCAAATCCGACCATCACCGTGTGCAGTGGTAAGAACGTTACTTTGCATAAACGAAATCCCGCGGAAAGAGCGATGGGCTTTTCTAAATAGACTCGGGATTAAAAATTCTGGATTGTGATATGTTCTCAGATCATAGATGTCTGGTTTCTCATTCAAGAACAAAGCGTATCCTTCAACTAGGATACGCTTTGTTCTTGGCCATTGGTGTAATTGAATGGCATTTATTTAAGTTTTCTAGTTGTCATACCATGATTTTACTGCTTTTTAATTACCTCAAGAATTTGAATTAAAGGGAACGGAATAAGGTGGATAAGGGTTTATGAGGCATGAAGTACACATATTAGGGTTAGTGCACCCTATTTTCTGATTTATCTATTCAAAAAGTATAATTATCGTCGTCATATCAGCTTATAACTGTCCATTGCTGAACATATGGAGGCCCTTGGGGGTATTGTCAGTAGTTGTCACGCTTGGCAGGCAGATTGGCAACCGCATTTGGGATTTGGAGATGTTTTAATATACTGCTGTCTACTCCTCGCTCTCCCTTAGTCGCCTTTTACGATATCCATGGGAAAGGAAGGGGTGGCCTATTCTATGACTGGACAACACGGTCATATAGTATAGTACTTTTTATTGTGCTCTAAAAATTCATAGGTAATATTTTTTATAGCTGAAAAGAATAAGGGTAAAGGTGAAGAGTCAATACTTCTAATCTAATGCAGAGATTGGAAGTAGTGAGTTGGATAAGAATTTGAAGAAAGATTAATAAATATTCGCATAAAGCACAAGGAACCCTGAAACATTGTCTCGGCATCTGCACGCTAAACAGAGCGTGTTGCGGCGACAATTTCCGTTGGCAGTCCGTCTGCAGTTAATATTGTCTTACACTCCCCCCCTCCTCCCTTCCATATCGTAAATTTGTAATGTTACTTGAAGTGTATATCATTTTTCTGGCGTAATGCTGCCTACTCCATGATGAAATATTAGCAAACTTTCTCTGTAAAAATCATGTCCGAATAATATAGAACACTACAATTTTTTTTTATACCTAACCTAACCTAACCCAACCTATAGACATGAGCAGTACTATGGACATAACAGAGTATACTTTTTTGCCCATGAACCCCCCATGCGTTGCCATTCCTGAGGACTCAGGTGTTATTCCTCCGTACTCAGTAAATTCACGCCATATCCAACCCTTCAAACCGAAACACAGCCATGCAAACATAACTGCTTTACGGTTGAAATTAATCAACGAATTAGATATTATAAAAATACTAGTAATTAATAAGTCTCTTGTAAAATTTTTGTTTTTAAACCAATCCCTCCCCTTCTCTCCAAGAATAATAAGGAACTGTTGGGTAAATTTTAATATCTAATTCAAGGCTTTTAGAACCACCGGTTTACGCGTATAAGTGTTATCTATCAGTTAAAGTTTGCACAAATGTCTGCATCATATCTGCATTGCAGTGTCAACATATTTATCATCAAATAGGTGGAGCATAATCGACGCATAATGGATTCTCTGCATGCATCAACGAGTTCGAATAATCGATTTCTTGATGATTGATTTGGCATCGAGTTGCTATTGTCCAAGCTACGATCAGATGTCATAATGGCTATATTATCTTACAATATGTCTTCGGCGTTGTTAATTGTATAATTTTTTTTTTTTGTATATAAGGCGTGGCGAACAAGCCCATCAAATTATAAGTACCTATTTATGTTTATCACCATCATTTTAGCCGTTAATTGTCGACTGTTATATAGAATATAGAACTCTCTCATAGACTGCCATAATGTTCTTTATGGATGTAAAATTATGTAATATTAAATATGTATAATACAACAAATTGTCAGGCACATCAACCTATATTGCCATTCTCTGACAGAGCATAACAAAATCATTATAAGATCTTTTATATGTAAAACTACTATAAAATACTAAATACTGTTAATAACTGCTTTATTATAGACATAAAAAAAACTCCATCAATAGGTATTACATAATAATACTGTGCTTCAAGGAACAGGTATTTTGTAAGCGTTGCCACTCTTGGGAATTTAAGGTTTTTACCATTCAAATTCAACCACGGTAACATGATTTCATCTTGAAAGATGAAAATGGAAGCATGCCTATGCTATTGGTATACAATTGCAGAGTATCAATAAGTGATGATGGATAGATGAGGTAGTGATTCCTGACACAATGTCAAACCATCAACTCCTCAAACAACCAACAATACCAAACTCTACCATGAGTAGATTGTATGCCTCACATCACAAAGCATATAGTCGAGTCAGGAGATTTACGTAGTTTCTCATAATCCTAGCTCAACAATACGCAAACAGTTTGTCATAATCGCAATTAGTCATATTGCGCATTAATGCAGTTCGTCATAATCACGAAACCTTGTTATTTCTAATTTATTTTTGATAAATTATAATGTTTCAATTTTAATAATATTGTCTGCTTGGAAGAATTAATAAGTAGTAAATTTTTTTGGTACTTATAAAAGTGTTGTACACTTGCATTTTATTGTATTTTTAAACGCATTTAATATACAAGTATAGTAGTAAAATACCTTTTGCAGTGTCTTAAATAGTATAAAAACAAAGTCATCCGCATCTGCTCCTTCCTCTGTTTCTTCTAAACCACGCAGTTGATTTTGATACGGAATTCATTGTCATTGAAACACTTTTTTTGTGGAATGTTTATATGTACAATACGTTCTTTATAACTTTTATATACGTAAATAAATTCAACGTTTTGTCGTTAAGTCACTAAAAAAATTGTTTTTCGTGACTAAATCTTAAACATGTAAGTTACGAAGCTAGGGTGGGTTGTGAATGTAGTATTTAGTGTAATAGCAATTAAATGTAATACCATTTCACCGTGGCTGAAGCCGTTGCATAACATTTGTATTTGCATACTGAACATGTGTTGCTCCCGCTAACAATAGGCGTTGGCGAAATTCCGCGACTAGTTACTGCTCTATACGCACGCTTACCTATCAAGTGGGCTGGTAGTATTGATGAAATATGTGTCATTGTCAATTAGTAAGTAGCAGATTTCATTTGCTACTTCCTTTGTTTGTTCTGTTTGTTCATCTATAATATTATGAGGATTACCTGTTTGGTTCTATGAATTATAAGCTAGGGATCGTCGATGTATTACGTTACACATTAAGGGGGAGGGTAAGGGGCAAGGAAGTGTGATATCGTGTCTATCGACTTTAAGACTTTATTATCAAAGTTATTATGGGATTTTTTTTATAATACAAGGACCAAGCAAGCTTGGTAAGCGGCTATCACTCGCTGCCCATGATCACTAGAGGAATTGCAGGTGTGCTGCCGGTCTTTTAAAAAGGAGTATACTCTTTTCTTGAAGGTTATAATAAGAAAAAAATATAGTTAAAATTACTAGGCTGTCTCTATAGACATCGGACATTTTGTACGTCGTGTCTTATTTTTTTTAATAACACAAGGGGAAACGAACATTATTATTATTATTAAGGGCATTTCTGGCACTTCTGGATAGTTATTTCCATATGTTGTTGATTTAAGTATCTATCACAACCTTATATAATTACGTTTGTTTTCCTTTTGTGGCATTTGATTATTACGTAGTTAATTCTTTAAATAGCATATACCTATATGTAAAGATAAGATTAATATTTATTATCATTCTTTGCTTGCTAAGGAGTAATACGTGTGTAACGTAATTTCGCCATATTGTCATTGTTAGTACTTAATATACTTATTAGAGAAATAAAGCTCTATCTAGGTACCTTTAGATAATTGTATACCCAAAATTTTTTAAGAATTTAAGTAGTACTAAAAACTTATCTAGGTTTCTATGATCGGAAAATAGAATAATTCATAAGTCTTAGTTAACAAACACTGCAGCATTTCATTTCAGACTTAATTTGTGATAAAATAACTTTTTAAGTATAATAGATACTGACCTTTATATTGGAAACCTTGATGTGTTAATACTAAATTAAGATTTTACCTACTTTGTTTAATGATGCAAAACTTGTCCAAACTCCAAAGCACCTTCTGTTTGTGTTTTGTCAATTAACCTCACTATTGTTTGTCTTTTTCACAGGTGCTGAGAGTGAGCGAGTGAATGGATGTCATTCACTCGAAAATTTAGAAGAGTCAGAAAACCTCGAGGCAGTGTCACGCTCGCTTTGTTTTCCAGTGATTTAATTGTGATATTAAATATTATTTGAGTAATACATAAGTGAATTTAGTGTGCGTCGTTTGGACTATACTTAATTTTAATTCCATGCAACAATTAATGCTCAGTGCTAGTGCTCAACTTAACAGTTCCTTAAAAATGGCTAGTGCCGATAATACATATACGTCCATACAGTGAATTAAATTGTTTTTTTTTTTTTTTGTGGAATAATAGTGCGAGAATATTGAATAATGTGCGCACGGAAGGAATTGATCCATTTTTAATTTTTGCCGTACAACGCCATCTATTGCCGAGTAGCGGACATATGTAGTACAAGATAGAATGGAGGCCGGTTACATACCGGTGTCGACTGGCAATGCCGGGAATGCGCCGCCTCCCAGCGTGGTAGCGCCAGCAACAAATGTAATTCGCGCGCCTAGTTTAAAACGCGGAAAAATGGAGGAAGCTATCTCAGACAGGGTAAGTTTAATAGCTTTTTTTATTAACTACTATTATTATTATTTATTGCTGTTTGAAGGTGTGAAGTTCTTGGTAAAATTAAATGCGTTATTCGTAACTCAATTTTTATAATAATGTTAGAATTTACAAAGTGCGTGTAGTGCCAAGGCTATCCGTTTAGAAAATTTTAATATTTTAATGGTTTAACAGTTGAATGATCTACGTCTATGGTTTGCTTATATGGCAAGTCCAAATATATGAATTTTTATTATATCTTAAATAATACCTAATCTTTAACAATTATTTATCTAATTATTAATTAAGAAGTTCTTGAAGAATTTTCTTATCCATCTATATATATATATATATATATATATATATATATATATATATATATATATATATATATATATATATATATATATATATATATATATATATATATATATATATATGAATATAGTGACGGTATGTTGCAAATATGCTCACTCACTTCTTCATAAGATAGATTGTTTCTTTAATACATTTATTGAGGGGGGAAAGGGATTGTTAGTAATGGCGACTGAGAATCCCATTGCTAGCAATATACCCCACCAGGTCGACCTCCTCGCGGTTCCCCCTGGAAACTATCATGGTTAATTCCTGATGAATTCATCATGATGGGCTAACTGGCCTGTTTTCATTCTCACCTATCACCCTTCACTGGTGCTCCACCAGCGTATCCCGTTAGCGCAGGCGGGGTTACCATACCATTTTCACCCATAAAAAAAAAATACATTTATTGAACTACAATTTACATTGCATACTACTTGCCAATAGATGGCGTCATCCAGCATATTAACATACTGTACAAACAGTACAGAATTATATACTTATTAGTCGCCATATATTCATTCTTCTAAATATAAGTTGATATATAAACACTTATATTTTTAAGCGACTCCAAAAAAATCACATTGTCAATTCTCCTGTATATGTGTGTATGCTATACGATATCCTCGCTAATTCTGCATCGATTAATTGATTTTGATAAGGATTTATTCCTGTGTTGGCCGGACCTAATTTTTATTTCGTTTCTTTTGGGAAGAATTAACCCAAATAATTTCAAAATTGGCAAAGATATCGCGTGAAGAACCAGAATTAAAAGTGAACTAGGAAATGTCTTTAATTTTGTGGTGGCTTAAAAAGACAAGAAAAAGATGGAAATTTTACACGTTGCTCTTGTACTTTCTGAGGCTTCCCTTTGGCAAGCACAAGGGCCCTACAGATGGGTGAAGTATCGCTTCTCGTAAAGTGTCCGCGGAACGTTGTGTGCCGGCAGTCTTATTTTGCATTTGTAATTAATTATAAATTAAATGATAAATATATTTATTCACTATTATACCACCGATCTGGCCCAGCTTCGCAAGACTGCATAGAAGTTTTGAAAATAATATATAGTCTATTTTATATATAGGTGAATATAACGCGCCGATAGACGACGACATTATCATAGATAATACATTAAGATTTTAAAATATTTGAATTTAGAATGCAGAATTGTCAAATGTAGAAGTGTGGATATGACAATAAGGTTTTTTCTCTACAAAAAACAGCTTCAATCAATGACTTATATGACTCACACAACAAAAAAATACAAAATAAAATAAATCATAAGATTTAGAATCTTTTTTAAAGTTTTTAAAAAATACAAACACATTGAAAACTTCCTTTCTTTTTGAATTAATACCAGTATTTCGTAGTGTAATCATAAAGAACTTATGTCGTTTGTTAAAATGTAAATATTCTATAGATTATTATTCAATATATTAGAACTTATATCAGTAAACGCAATTGCTTCTTTTTTTTTTGTAATTAACGTTCTTGTCAAAGTGATCATGCAATTATTTAATGTTTCTAGAACTTGTTACCTCTAAATAGGCTCGCCTCTTCCAAGAAGTACGGTGTCTCCATTTGTACAGTTACGGTTGCCGGTGATTTTCAAACTATGGTCCGTACTTGCGACATCGCTTTGCTGTCAGCAAACCGTAATCTATGGAAGAAAAAATTTTTTATACTCGCTAGTTCATCTGATACGAATAGCTTCTAAACAGACTTCTAAAAAAGGAGGGTTTCATTTCGTTTGTATTGTTTGTGGCTATGCTTACTAATATTGTAAATGTTAAGGCGTAACGGAATAATCACTATGAGATTTGGTATGCACTTACTATATGGAATGGAGAATGTCAAAGGTAAAACTTTTACCTTGGTCAGTAAACATATGACGCAGATAAAGACGTGGGCAAAAGCTAGTAATATATAACACGGTTACTTCGCCAATTCTATTTCGATTTTAATAATTCTTTTCATCATCGATGCGGTTTACTCCTATATTCATCCCATATAAATTTTGCAACGGTTGTAGGCGTCCATCTTCTTTGTGGAGCATATAAATGCTTCTTGTGAAGCAAAACAAAAAGATATTCGATTCTGCGTGCTCAGCTTAAATATTTTCAAATTAATATGTGTATGAAACTGCTCCATCGCTGTGTAGGTCCCGGCATAGAATAAGTCCACCCTTTTTTTCCCGTGGGTGTCGTAATAGGTATGATATGGAGGGATAAACAGCAGCATCCCTATTAAAACATTACCCAATGCGAAACTGCGATTGCCAACCCGCCTGCCAAGTGTGGCAAATCCCTGCTACAACAACGGAAAATCTCGGCATTTATCAGCCCACGTGTGTTCAAGATTGAAGTTGTTTTCTTTTAAAAGAACAAAATGTACTTGTGCTCAATTTTATTATAAGAGTAAGAACAACCTGCAGGCTGACATTTAACCCAATCGAGTTGAGTTCAAATCGGAATCTCATCGAATAAACATCAAGTGGATGTTACTATTAGTTTTATTGACGTCTATTCGATTTGATTTCAATTCGATTATATGAAAGTTAACCTACTAGATGGATACAATGTAAGCCTTCGAGAACCCTTAATGTCTTGTTTATCCCGAGGTGTCATAAAAACAAATTTCCAACTTGTTTTCAAACGTGTTTTAACTTATTGGATCCTATTCAAATTATAAAAAGCTTAAAATAAATATCTCTTAAAAATAATATAAATAGCACTCACAGTTTTATATATAAATAGCACACGCAGTTTTTTGAGGCGAGAGTAAATATGATGTCATTGTTTAAGTGACGATACGTTAAGAGATTTTGATAAAGATGAATGTGTAATAAATACTATGATAGTGACTTCCTTCATTTTATGTGTCATCAGCTGGTTTTCTTTCAGTAAAGGTGACAAATAAACATACGACCCTGGCAATAGACAAGAGAAACACGTGATTTATTTTTTGCTTATTTCCAACTTCCGAAAGGAGGTTCAGGTAGTTATGGTACCCTATGGTACCCTTCATGCGTTGCTATTCCTGAGGATTAAAAAGTTATGCCTGCGTATCCTGTAATTCTAATTGCTGCGAGAAGTATGCAAATAATTTGATTTGTAAATTATTTAAATTGTCATTAATGCAACGCAGGCGCATAGAAATTGACCCACTTACTACGGGAGCAGAACATTCGCGTGCAACCAATTGCATTCCGAATTTGCGATTGAAGAAACGATATTGTTATAGCATGTAGCGATGACGAAGCCAATTAACAATTTTAAACAAATTGTCAAATATTGCTTTGGTAATAAAAGGCGGAAGTATGATAATACAAATATATAAGAATATAAAAAATCCACTTTACACGGATCATAATAGGATTTATTTTATATTACCTGCCGAGTTTATTAGATCTCTCACATTGAGAGCACCTGAGGGCGCACTGTTAACGGCTTAGGTCGGCCTAGGTCAGCAGTTTCATCCGCGAGTTATAAGAAATAAATCGTATTGCTTCAGATTAACAGTATGTAATGTGAAAAAATGTCATGAATATGCGAAACTGGAGCACGTCCATAAGATTTAAAAGTGTAGAAGATAAGACCATGTTATACGACTCCTAACTTTCGTCTGGATGTTATAGGAGCTGGTTGTTGTGAGATGATATTAAATGTCGATGATACTACAAATTAAGTACATTTAGTAAAATTGTACACGACTGTTGAAGTAGGGATATGAGCAGATAGAGGGTGCTATTGTCATTATACAAAAATACTTTATTTGTTGTGTTGGGCTGCCAACACATGTAAAAATTAAAGCAGTTGTAGACTTTTGATTCTCTATCACCTCCTAAGAGGCTTACAATAGAATAACTTCTAGTCGTTGTCATGTAAGTATCGTTTGTTTAGTAAAAAAAGCGACTTCAATTACCACTGTAGGAGTAAACACTGCTGATTTAAAAACTAATTTTGAAAATAAGATCTGAATTTGTGACGTAGTTGCTTAACATGATTTACAAATAATTTAGGATTCTGCTCTACAAAAATAAACCGTCTTCAATTATAGCAAAACCAGTTATTTTCATTCGAAAACTATATATAAACTACTGAACCGATTTTATTAACATTTTTATGATTTTGCTAAATATCTGTAAATATACCCTTTCAGATAAAAGAATAATTATCTAAATGGGTTTATAACCGAGACAGTTATGGAGTAACAAACATAAATAAAATACAAGCGTATTGAGAAAGTTATTTTTGAAGTCGCTGGAAAAGTAGATAATCGCATAAATTGGGAACCTTCGTCTTTAAGAAGTTGCTTACAATATATAGTTTACTTTGTTAATGGTCTCGGAATTAATTCAGTAAGTAAATGGTTCTTAACAAAACTTTTAAATTTATGCAGAGGAGGATCTTATAAATCGTTCCGTAATGTTTATTTTCCCTATAAAAAAAGAGTCTATTAACTTTATCCAAACGGTACTTTGGAATATATTAAGTTGTTTATTGTAAAAAAGTCATAAGTTTTGTAATATTATGTATGTTTAGATAAAACAAAATTTATTTATATCTCGAGAAAAACCTACAGTTTACCTTCCCAGGTGTCGAAAATGTTAGTCTGGAAAATTACAGCGCTAGTGCTAAAAATACTTG